CCTAATTAAACATTTACAGTTGAACCATCACCAAATGCTTCTACTAGAAATTCAAGTCCTTATTTAGTGTTTGTCGTATTGATATTGTCAGATCTTTTGGTTAGCCATGACTTTGAGCTTAGGATTGCTGATCAGAAGTAGCTTGCCCATAGCTGGGCAGCAGCTCCTATGTGAACTCACAGGAGCTAGGAATTATTGTTGTACGTTGGGACAAACTGCTGCTGCTGCCCAGCTTTTTAGAGTATCTTACCTCTGTGCAAACCACTGGGTCTCCATTCCAGCTGGATTCTTGTTGGTGGAGCAATCACTGTCTCATACAGTAGCACAGTATTGATATTCTGGCTCCAAGTATGTCAGTGACATATTCGTTAGGCCACTAAGGTGCTGTGCAGCGGGTTCCCTCAAAGTTTGGAACTTGCTTGGATGTACCAGCTTGCACAGAGACTATGTACTAGCCTGGCTCTGCGGGAGGCAGCTTTCCATAACGTCTCTGGACTGGGTCACTTTACACCTCATTCGATATTCCCCTATGCTCATCAAGTGAGGATTGCTGCTTACAGGACTTGAAAGCTGGTATGAAACAATCTTCTCTCTCTTATTCACCTACAACTCTCCTATGTTGGATATGCCTTTTACCAGCTCTGTTGTAGTCTGACCAGTTTATGAGCTTTTGAAAGTCTCTGCAAGCAAAGTAAGAGCTAAAAATCCCAGCAAGCATTCCTACGAGCATACCCAAACCTCACCACATGGTTCCCCCACAGGGGTATTGAACATGTACTAACTAGCATGTTGCTACACCTAACAGCACAGAATGATTGCTTGTGCTTAACTCAGAGCAACTACAAAACCCACAGACATACCAGGTCTGAACAAAAAATGCATTTATAAGCCATAAAGAAGACAAATTGAGAGCTGCTGAGAAAAAGGTGAAAAACTGTAAATGGGTTGTCTGTGAAAGGACCTCTAAGATGAAATGAAAGAGTGGGAAAATTAGTTCCTAGTCCTAGTGAAAGGAAAGAGGAAAAAAGCTGTGGGGCAGAGCTGGAATTGAGATTGGCTGGCAAAGAAACTGATTAACCTGTTTCAATTAATCTTGTAGTTTCACATTACAAATTGTGTTATCAGGTCTAAAGTGCCCTAAACTGAAGCACTTACAGGTCAATGCTTTTGCCAGCAAGCTCTTTGCTCCCTGTGAAATGGTATAATAGGATCTCATTACATCTCGCTGATATAATAAAATTAATAATTTTAAAAAGCACCACAGAAATGGCGAAAAATATAGAAAACTCAGTGAAGTTAATAAGTTAGTACTTTTAGCAGATAAAACTTCAATAGTGTGCATCAGATAAAGCAATGGCCCACATCCCTTGAAGTGGCTAAAATGATTTTACTGCAGTCCTTCATCCATTGATTTAATTGTGCTGTGCACTGAATTAAGTGGACACTTTCTTAGAAAAGTGGCAGGTTGTCATTGTGTTATAGCACCTATACAGACCTGGCTCAAATTGGTATCAGGGAACCAAACTTAATTCTTTCATTTCAGACAAGCAAGGAAGTATTTTTTTGGAAAAATTCTTTTCAAGTCGATACACATTTTGGTAGAAAGCTATTGTGAGCATACTTCAGCTGTTGATGTGTCAGGATAGAGATACAAAAAGAAAGGTTTCTGTGTAGTCGAGTGGAAAACCTTATTTTACTTAGTGGCTAATGCCGCCAGGTGGCTAGTTAGTGTAATTGACTGAAAGCTGTAAAATGCATTTTTCTTTTACCTCTAGGTAAACAAGTATTTTCGTATAAATACGTTTCCATGTGTGAATTTTTATGTGTGACATAAAAAAATTAAAAAATAGTGAGAGTAGACAGGGCTGATTAGTAGAGAGGAATAAAGACCAAAGAGAAGCATACATAAAAAGGATATTTCTGGAGGTCAGTGGAATACATTTATCTAGTTTGTAGGTTAAAAGTAAGTCAGTTGGTAAAACAGACAAGTGTGAAACAGTGCCAAAGCTCAAGGGAAAAGAATTAATTATGGAGGAAAATATTTCATGCTACTTTGTGAGTTTTAACATCATTTACTTCCTTTTAGATGGTCAGGATTATTTCAATGACTCAACATTCCCCTCTCTGGGGAAAAAAAAGCATATGCAAATTGCTTTGGTAGGAAAAATTCTTCCTATCTAAGATAATATTATTATTATTTCCCTAGTACATATTTTTCTAAGATGATAACGCTGAAAAGCTTGTAAAATGCTGAAGTCTAGTCTTGTAAGTGTAGGATACACAAGAGGGAGGTAAATAAATACAGGTGTCAAGACTGTTATCTTCATAGGAAGACCAGTATTCTGCATGTATTTGGCCAAATCTAAATGCACTTTTTCAAACACATGTCACTATATCAAAATGGAAACCAGTAGTAACAAAAATTTCTTAGATCCAAGTTATCCATCATCAAAACAATCTGATAGGGATGCAGCCTTTTTGCACATCACTTGATCTGAACTCAAGCAATGTTTTACCGTGATAATCTTGCCAGTAACATAGAGAAACCATTTGCCTAGTGCACACATATATGAAACTTGAGCAAGGGCTGACCTTCTGAAATACCACAGTTTTGCTGTATAGTTAGCTTAGTACCTAAGAGGAAAATTGATTACAAGGAACCACATAATAACACAGGTTCTCTTCAGATCTAGCTTCAGTGGCTTATTGTTTTCCATATTATTTTGGGCTATCAGTATATGCCTTGGACTGTACAATATTTAATTTCCAAAATTTTATGTATTTTACAGTTTCCTCAGTTCTTAAGCAACAGAAGTTCCCCTTTGTATACTCAGCATGAAGTCTCCTTTATGAAATAGCTGTTGCTTTCAAAATTACAAACTTTCACTTATTTCCTTGAGGTCCTGTAACAAACTATGTAAAAAAAAAATGTCATCAGCTTCTTTTCATGTTAGATGTTATGTTGTTCATTTGTGACTGTCATTCTCTGACATAGTTCAATAGTAGATTACATGACTCTCTCTTCAGGCTTGCAGGGAGACTCAAAACCAACCCCCAGCCCTCTATGTCTCTAAATGATCATTTGGTTAAGCTAGAAACTCCTGCTTTGCAATAAATACAGAATTATTATGAACACACTAACAGAACTATAATTGCAGTACACTTTACAAAGAAGCTGCATCTGTGGACTTTTTATAGTTCATATATACTAATGCATTTTATTTCCTTGATACATATTGGATATTGACACTTAACAAATTAGCATGCAGTACTCTTTCACAGAAATATTTTCATGAACTCTGTAGAACTGTTGATTATTAATTATATTTTTAAGGAGACTAGTATGTTTGCAAAGAGTCCTTCCAGACAGATTGATAACTGCCTATGCAGAATGAGTATGGCTACTTGCATTCAGTAGTTAGAGTAATTGTTTTTTCCTGGTTCTCTTGGTGTTTTCCTGGTTTTCTTGCTTTATAGCTCTTTGGCAATAACTAACACCTTCTGAAATAAGAGAAGCTATAACATGAGAAGCAAAACAGTATTCCCTCCCTTAGCAACTTTACCTTTCACAGATAAATTATTTTTTTTCTTAAACTCTGATTACAGTTTCCAACAGGATTGTAGCTTGCATTTTCATCCCTCCTTGAGGGTCTTAATGAGGAATTTACTTCCATATATTCTTATATTTATAATGATGTTTCAAAAGTATACACCCCATTCTGTCAATGATCCAAGACCCTAAAATAAGATCTTAAAAATATTTGGATATTAAATCCACTATAATCTGTGTAAGATATGAACCTAAATATTGTCAAGAATATTGGTCACTGTGGTCACCAGAGTTTTCATACTGTAAAGATATTTACATTAGAATTTGTCATCCTAATAATGTATTTGCAAGGAAGGCTGGTTTTAATCAGCATAAATTAATTAGAAACACACAAGCACTTAATAAAGGATGTATCTATTTGGGCTGACAATTTTTTCAAACTTTTTTGTATTTGGGGGACTTTATGAATGGCTGTTGTAAACTGAATCCCCCCCCCCCGGTAGGGGAAACACCCATATTTAATTTTAAGCTTTTGATTATGTGTTACATTTCTTCAGTTGCTGTACATTTCGTGAGATCTCAGCTTCCCAGTGACTTCCATAAGCAAGATAATACAAATGTAACAGTTAAATGTAACAGTTGTCTGATTAGGCAAAGTAGTTCATTATTGGTTTTCACATTAAATAGATCTTATAATATGATATTACAGAGTACATCTAAGGTTAATGTTGCTTTTATAGAAACTCAGGAAACAGAACACTAACAGAGCATTTGCAAGTCTACTATATTTTAGCGGATAGTACTTTTTAAGAAAATATGACTAAATTAATAGTACTGAGATCACTAGAACTGCTCAGACCTGCTAATAAGCAAGTGATTTACTAGAGCCCTCCAGTCAAGGTGTTTGTTAACAGAAACACAGTATTTCTATTCTGTGGGAGGGCAAAGTTCCCTTTGGATTTTTATTAAATAATTGTCTCTTTTTGCCACTTTGATTTGTGAGCAATTGAGGACTTGGAATGAAATGAAGAAAAACAGAACAGGGAGGAGCCTGTGTAAGCAACTGCAGTTTTCTGCTAGCAAAACCCCAGTTACAGCAGTACCTATTTGCTTTCTTGATAAGAAAACCCTGTTTTACAAGCCTCTATATGCGAATACCTTCGGGCACACGAATAGCACATGAGCTCTGCAAGCTTTTACAAGGACAATCCCTCAGTAAAGCCCATGGGGCAAGACTGCAGTTGCACAACCAGGACGTTCATCAACACCTCTAATGTTTGGAGACTCAAACTACCCGCACTTTACAAGTCCCACGGGACCCGGGTCCTCCTGGGGAGTCAGGCTAGGCAGCAACTTCCGCCTTTCTCACGCGCCCTTTCGCGTGTCCCCGGGCGCGGGCCCGCCGGCTAGGCGGCGCGTCCCCCCCCGAACTGT